ATATTATTAGGATTACATGGAGTATTTTTTGGCAGTGATTTTTTTAAAAGATTTATTTATTTATGTATGCAGAAATGGGGTACAGGCCAGAGGTACAGGGATGGTGAGAGGATTCACCAGAGACAGAGTGGGGTGCAGGACAGATTGACTAAATACACTGCTGAGGGGAGCAGTGGGCAGAAGTCTGCCATGCCATGGGAGAACACTGCCCTGGCTGAGGATTGAACTAATGAAGTGATTGCGTCTATTATCCTAGTGCTGTGCTTTAACTCGTTGGGCCACCAGGGTAGGGCCCAGCAGTGTTTGTTTTAAAGAGAGGGAAGCAGGCCTTCTCTGGTGGCATAGCAGGTTAAAGCACAGCACTACAAAGCTAAAACTACTTCAGCACAAGTTCAATCCCCAGTCCCAGAGGTGACCCACATGGCACAGCAGACCTCTCCTCACCCACTCCCTGTTCCCCTTAGTAGTGTATTTCAGTTAATCTGCCTGTTCTGCTCCCCATTCTGTCTCTGGTGAATCCTCTCACTGCTCCTGCACCTCTGGCTTGTACCCCAGTTCTGTATGCATAAATAAATAAATCTTAAAAAAAAAATAAAGAGAGGGAAGCACTGCCTCTGGGACTTAGAGGTGTCATCATAGTACTAATTTGGTAGCCCAGGAGATGGAAGTGCCTTGAGAGCAGCAGGGATGACAGTGTCTCCACTCTGCTGGGACCAGCGGCTTCAGTGTTGGTCAACACTTCTAAGTTAGTAATATCTGTCATCTACCCTGGCATTGGTAGGTATCATAGACTAATAATTTAATCACCATCTTTATATTAATTAGGAAAAGGGGCTTGCTTTCAATTAAGGTACTTTCTAAACTGATAGTATGTTTTAAAGGTGCATATAGGTGTGTGTATAAATTAAGCATTAGAAATTAAAATCTGTAGTAATTGACTCCTATCAGAATGAAATGTGGAGACATTGAAGGAATGTGAAGTCTTCTTACAGAAGTGATCAAAAATTGGGCCCTCCTTGGCGGTGCAGCGGATTAGGATGCAGCACTGCAAGCTAGCTGTAGCTGCTTCAGTGTGAGTTTGATCCCTGCCCCAGAGGTGATCCACATGGCGTGGCAGACCTCTCCTATCTCACTCGCTGCTTCCCTCAGCGGTGTACTTTGTTGATCTGTCTGTTCTGCCTCCCATTCTGTCTCTGGTGAATCCTCTTGAAACCCCTGCACCTTTGGCCTGTACCACAGTTCTGTATGCATAGTAAATAAATCTTAAAATATATACATAGTCAAAAATTTATAAAACATGGTGTTTTTTTTTTTCTGTATTAGACAATGTCAGGAAAGAATATTTCTTCCCAAGATGAATGATGGCAGGATTTCGATTTTACTGATATTGTAGTGAAAATGCAGTGGGATATAGTAGGTGTAATGATAGAACTTTGAGAAAAATGAGGAACAGTTTATGACCAAGTGGTAAAAAAACAAAGGTGGTAATAGAGGAAAAAGTGGGATTAAAAAACAAGCAAACAGGGCCTTCCCTGGTGGCGCAGCGGGTTAAAGCACAGCACTGAGAAGCTAAAGCCACTTTCGCATGAGTTTGATTTCCGCCTGCCCCGGAGGTGACCACATGGCGTGGCAGACCTCTCCCGACCCGCCCGCTGCTCCCCTCAGCAGTGTACTTTGTCGATCTGCCTGTTCTGCTCCCCACTCTGTCTCTGGTGAAGCCTCTCACCGCCCCTGAGCCTCTGGCCTGTACCCCAGTTCTGTATGTACAAATAAATAAATCTTTAAAAAAAAAAAAAAACAAGCAAACAAGCAAAAACTCAAGGCATTGGTTCTTCAGTCCTCGCAGTATAGTTTTGGAGGTTTGCTGGATTATCACTGAACTTGACAAACAGAGGAGATAGTGCAAAAAGTAAAATTGCACAAAATTACAAATGATATTACATATTTTAAAACTTGCCTTTCAAAACTAGGTCCTTTTCATACAATATGATATAATCACTAAATCCCTAATTCAATTCACATATACATATTCCTGTGCCAGATGTGCAAAAATTGCACAATCTAACCATCATTTCCTAGTACTCTGTTGTGATTTGAAATATTGGTCTCCAAGAGTCAATCTATCTCAAAGACTAATGTATGGGCACATACTCTTTCAGGTTATATCTGAAAGCTAACTACTTAACAAAGCTTCCTTTATTTAAGGCTAATGGGTCTGTTCAGACTTACGGACCAGGGGCATGGGTCTGAGAAAATCTTTGTGTTTACATTTCCCCTTTTTGGTCTTACTTAGTTTTTGTTACATTCTTGATCTATGTTGTATCTTCTGTCCAACATCAGACTACCTTTGGCATGTTTTACTAATACTTCACCTAAAGAGGTTTGTCAGATTATGTTTGCCTTTCTAATTGTTATAATCTGCACCTTAACCTCTTGTTGCTCTCCTACATTTAATTGGTATGGTTTAATTGATTTTTATAGTAATTTATAGTGATTTTACCCATTGTACTTGTTCTTAGGTATTTACAGTTACTGGCAAACAGAAAAACAAGAGGTTTCTGTGAAAACAAGAACAAAAGTTAAAAATGAAAGGAAATTGGTCTAGTTAAGAGTTCTGAGGGCAGTCATTTGAGAAGATTTCTAGATTTCAGTGTCACAGCATTTTCAGATCAGGTGAGAGAAGGCAGTATTCGCAGTTAGATGTCATCCCATATTTAGAAAAACAGCGACTGTTGTGGTTTGTGAAAGCCATGTTGGTGATTTTACCAAGGAAATTCTCCATCTCTATTTCCAAAAGAAAGCAGTTTAGTTTCAGTTGATCTAAGCTAAAAAGATTGGGAGAAAATAGCAGAAAGTGTTTTTTTGGAGCACTATAACTAGATATTAGAAAACAAAATCAGTATCCAGACCAGTTTGCAGAACAAAAGCAGAGACCAAAAAAGTGATCACCTGAGCAAGAAAGTGATATTCAAAATGGAAGATAAATTACAGGAACACTTTGGTTGTTGCTTTTTTCTCATCAGATGAGTGTCAGTGTCCCCCATAAATTTACCTTACGTTTGTATGTCATTGTAAATCGAAGATCAAATTTGATGTGTATGAATTTTTTTTTTCTTTAAATTTAAGGAACAGGCTGATCCCGTAAAGATATTTCCTGCAAGGGAACCTAATGAATGATATTAGGGAGATTTATTGGGTTGCTCCTCTGAATGACGTCTTGATCTAAGACAAGGGGTTTGTGATGACTGTCGATGGTCTAGATGACTATCAGTGGTCTAATCTTGACTCTTCCCACTCACACTCCTCCAAAAGTAATAAATCCAACAGATAAAAAAGCAAATAAAGCACAGATGACTCATGCCTTAAAAACACCAGGAGACAGCAACAAACCTGTGGTTGCAAGCACAGGAACTCTTAAAGAGGTTTAAGAGACTGTGGAAAAGAATAGAAGGGCATGGAGGACTTAGATGAACTGCAACAAAATCACATCAGAAAGATTTGGCTGGAACTCCATGTTAGTTTACAGCATTGACCACCACAGGAAGGAAACTAAAAGAGTGGCATCAGAACAGGCAGCTTTTGTAGGATATTGCTTCTGGGAGAGATTCAGCTATATGCAGAAAGGATAGTATACTTTGAAGACATAGCAGTAAAAAGAAAAGAAAAAGGCAAGAAAATGGAGAAATTACTACATGATATCTCAAGCCCTCCCTGTTCTCCCACCTCCATCATTCATAAAACTGCATAGAAAGGGAAGATCTAATAGAAGAGAGAACTCTCAAACTAACAGTCTAGTCCTCTGAATGAACAGAACTACAGCAAAGTAGCCTAAATCTTTACAAAAGTGCTATTTAAAAAAAAAAGGGCAGTAAGGGGTCAATTTCAACTGATGAAAAATTTCTCAAAGTTCAATCCTGAAAGAAAACTATACATAACATCATAATCTAAATTAAATTTTCTCATTCAGGCTCTTGGGTATGTGAAACATAGACCCAAACCACCTTGAGTTGGAAATACAAAAGCTTAGAATAGAGTTGGACAAAAACCAAAATAAAATGAGATGAGAGGTAATTAAATGCTAAGATAATGGAAAAGAAGAGACAAAATCAAACCTGAAATGGGGATTAAATTATAAGATCCCCAAGGGAAAAAGACTCAAATGACCCATTGTATAGTATTTCTGTTAAATATAAATGGTCTAAATACAAATCAGAGATTGGCAGAATGGGTTAAAAAAAGACCCAATTATATGCTGTCTATATAAAAAAATTCATTTCCAGTATAATTGTACTGATAGGCTAAAAGATGTTAATAGATAAACTACTCAAACAGGTACCAAAAGCAAGCTGGAATGAGTGTATTATTATCAGGCAAATAGAGTTCAGAGCAAAAAAAATTTTTTTTAGCAAGGAATAGAGAGAGAGAGAGAGAGATACTAATAAAGTGTCAGTTCACAAAAAACACACAGCAATACTAAAAACATTCAGTAAAAAACTACATGCAAGATACACAAAGTAAACACTGGCAGAATTCAGATGAGAAATTCACAAGTCTCTGATTATATTTGGGGATGTTAATAACGCTGTCTTAGTCAATAATAAAATAGCTATTTAGAAAATCAGCAAATAATAGTAAAACTAAGTGACATTGACAAACAGGATCATTGACTTTTATGAAACTCTCCACCCAACATTAGTAAACTATATATTTCTTTCATAATATTTACAAATACCAAGATAAATGTGAGGTGATAAAGCAAAGTTCAACATACTTTCGGAAATCTAACTAGATATTATTAACAAATAGCAGGTAAGATAAATGCGGAGAGGAACTTCATATAAATAAAAATCCATAGCTTATCCTTCTGTCCTTAATTCTGTTTCTATTGTCTTGGTAGATAGGGAAGTATATGTTTTATCTGATACTGTACCAAAATGATAATGAAACATACCTATTAATTATTACCCATGATAAACAGTCTTGTTTTCTTTATTTCACAGCTTCTTTATTAAAAGGACTAAAACATGCTAACATAGTGCTGCTTCATGACATTATCCACACCAAGGAGACACTGACCCTTGTGTTTGAATATGTGGTAAGTAGAATAAGAATTCAAATTTTATAAATCTGAATGGAATTCTCATAGTATATAGCGTTTCATTTTTAGGTTGCTATACTCAAGTGTTTTATAGTATATATGAGACATACTTTTAAATGGTATGCATTTTAATAGAAAAATCCAAAAGAATGTTAAATTGAAATTTTTATCAGGCATATCATTTCTTTATATTCTATTTGTTACTATTATACACTGTAATTTTTTTATCAAATGGGAATAAATAGCGCATTGGAGAGTTGTGTCAAAGGAAGTTCACAGAATATAAAAGTGTTTTTCTCTTTGACTGTGGCTTGGTTTATCAAATGGATCCTTATTAAGATGTTTTCTGTGGAGGAATGGCTGATAGTTACAATTTAGACTTCATGGTTTTCCCCCTCAGTTGGTATTTCAGTATTAATTAAAGCTTCCAATTTGCATAGCACACAATGCAATGATCTTACTGTGTTGAGCGTATTACTGCTAGAAGACTTGGACTTGAACTCATAATTAATCTTTCTCCGTTTCCCTTAGAAAAACATATGGTATTTGTGTAGCATCACTTCAGCATTTAACTGAAGAATCATGAAATGTAACCATGATAATTAACACCCCAATTTTCACAGATGGATCTGAGAACATGTAATTTATAAGATACAAATGCATTGGAGGAGACTTCTATTGAGAAGAATAGCCGTTGGTATTGTGAATGTATTAAGATCCCATTTTGCAATTACCCCCCTACTTTTTTTGAAAAATTTGAAACAGTTTCTACTTTTCCTTAAAATATATATAATAGAGTGAATATTTGCAACATTTTTGTCTTGCTAATATCTGCCTATTTCTGTTTGTCATTTGAAATTTGTTGTCTTGTGAAGAAGCCATTCATCTTGTGTATTTACATATAAATGATAGATACATTTGAATAATATGGTAATGTGGCTGCAAGGACAGCTAGAGCTGAGCAAGTGCATATATTACATGCTACCAAGAATGGATACAGATTCACACATCAATGCAAATATAATTTCTTTTGTTTAATCGATGATTTGGGAGTCAATGTATTCAGCTGACTTAGAATTGCAATTTTTGTTTCATATGTTCCAATATGTCTAGCTGCAGTATTTCATTTCTAGATTTTCCTTAGTATACTTGACTAACTTTTGTAATGTTTTATACAAAAGATATTTCAAGCAGCTCTCCTGGGTGCCTGTGACTATGCAGATGCTTCTCTTTTTTTCCTTTTCTTAATAAACCTGTCCTTTTCAAATGTAAAAAGAAGAAAACAAAAGCTATTTAAAAGATCTACTGGCATATACCCCCTACCCTCTGGTACTGCATAACTAAATTAAAATGAAGAAAAATGGTTTGACTCCTAAAATCAGTAACACTGAGAAAGTCACTTTAAAAAACTGAAAATATGCTCTTGAAATCTTAAAAGAAAATCCAATATATAAAACTCTCCATGTAGGATCAGATGTCACTTAATAATTTTATGTTCTGTGGACGTTGCCACAGAAAAGAAAAGAATCACTGTCCTAAGTTTATGTTGACTCATTAGGTAGACTTTTAGGCCCTCCCTGGTGGCGCAGTGGGTTAAAGCACAGCACTGAGAAGCTAAAGCCACTTCCTCATGAGTTGGATCCCACCTGCCCCAGAGGTGACCACATGGTGTTGCAGACCTCTCCTGACCTGCCCACTGCTCCCCTCAGCAGTGTACTTGGTCAGTCTGCCTGTTCTGCTCCCCATTCTGTTTATGGTGAAGCCTCTCCTGCTCCTGAGTCTCTGGCCTGTACCCCAGTTCTGTATGCACAAATAAATAAATCTTAAAAAAAAAAAGACTTTTAATCAGTGAAACAGTGTTTCTTCTAGTGAGGGCAATTTTCCCTAGTCCCAATTTTTGTGGAGACACCCCAGGTTCTCTAAAATTAACCACGTTACCATGTGTGGACATCTGCAGTACTCTGCAGATGTGACATTTCATTCCTGACTTCTCTGGGAGAGGTAAGACAGATGAACCTGTGTTCATGTAGAGGAGGAGGCAAGTTTGCGACCTTGTGGCTTGTAATTGTGCCATCTTGCCTCTTCAGGTTTCCATTCCAACTTTATTTCCTTATTTTCCCATTGTTTTTATTTTTACCTTTCTCCTTTTTACCTTTCTTTTTCTGTTGTTTTCATCTCTTAGCCTTTTTGTTTTCCTTCATGAAGATTTTTTTGTTGCTACAACTGAAATTTGGTGGCTTCTATTCTAAGTCTGATTTTTAAGTGCATGTCTGCAGTCAGAGTAGAGAGGTGGAGGGGTAGTGGGAAAATTCCAGATTGTGTAAGATTTTTACAACAGCCTTCCCAGGTAGAGGAGGGAAGGTATAGACTCCTGTCAGCATTTGTCTGTCCATGTGGCCATTACCCAGTGCAGTTATAACTTTCCTGAGTGTTTCCTTAAGTTTTTATACTCCCTTTTCACTGCTTTTTATTTGTAAATATGATATCTCAAGGAAAAATTCATATTCTTACATTTTATAGATCAATTTAATACACTTTTTCTTCACAGAATCTAGCAGATATAAAATCTACTCCTGCATGTTTCATAGCAGTGGAAAGGTGTTGTAATTTCAAAACAGGAAACATTCTTGGGAATTATAGCTGATGTAGGTGAGGGAGGTAGATGAGGAAACAAGAGGTAGTGTACGCTTGAGGTAATGAGAGAGGAAACAAAAAGGGAGCTGCAAAACTATTGAGACCAGTTTGACCATTAATACTGAGATTAACAACTAAAATTGCGTTTTATGCAGGGGAAAGTGCTGGGGATTTTGTAGACATGATCACTTTTTATTTTCTCAACTGCCTATGAAACTGTGAATCTCACCACAAAGGAGAAACCTCAGGATTAAGGAGATTAACTGATTTTCCAAGTTTTTTGTCATTTATAGAAGAGATTCAGACCCATCTTTATGCCATTAGACTGCTTTATAGTTTACTTAAGTAGACTGTGTATTTGTAGACTGATCAAAATCTAGCTATTTAAAATTTTATTTCAATTATGAAGTGTCTTATATTTCCATAAAGGAAGATTTGTGTTTATATAGTAATAATATTGTTCCATGTATTTTACTGAAATCTAGTTAAACACACATACTTTCAGAGTCACACAAATACATACACACTCTCAAGCACAAAACCTTTAATTTAGCAAGCTCTAGAATCAGTATCAAATGATTATATAATTTATTAAACTTGATGATATTGCCACATTTCAAAATTGTTGACATGGAAGTTATTTTCTAAAATGCTGACTTTGTAGTTCCATGTAATTTATAGTATCTTTTTTTTGGAGAGAGGGGACTGAGTAATTAAACAGTGTAAGAAAATCAATATAGTCATACCCATCCAAAAATATCTTGGGTCCATTAAAACCCGATATGCAGGGAAAGCAAACCATTTTAAGATTTATTAGGCTCTATATTGGCATTTTCCTCTGAATTTTAGAAATAATTAAGTGTTCATGGGGTTTTTGAGGTGCCTATGTAATTTGAATGCCACAAAAATGAAAGATTCCTATTTATGATATTGTACACACAGTATAAATATATTTCTGTATTTTGCTTAAAAGAGAACTCTAAGCCTACCTCTTTTATATTGTACCCACAAATGACATTTTAGGTTACATAAAAGCCTTCTAGGGCCAGTGATGAAAAGTTAGTGATACAAAACATTACTCAAGGAAATGACTTTGGAGGTCATTATTTAAAATGATTCTGTGGATAATAGGATATTGCTAGCTTAGACTATCTCTTAACATTGCAAAGTGGTCTGAAATATGGATTCTCATATACACTTTCAAAGCATGTGGATTTGGTGATAGAATGATTTACACCTGCAATTCTGGGACACACTGGCAAAACTCCAGCCCGGGTTGCTGGTGCCTCAGCTATGTAACATGTGACCCCTGTGCAGCATCTTTCTGGATAATGTCTTCCTTCCATTGTCAAATGAAGAGGGCAGCTTTCACCAAAGAGTGGCTCGATTTACCTGAGTAGGTACATGTACTGTGGTGGAGGACTGTGGGCACGTTGGTGGAGGGAGAGCCATGTACAGTGACTAGACCTTAAGGGAGAGATCTTACACTGTCAAAAAATTAACAAGGTATATAATAGTAGTACCCTATTTAAAAAAATATATATATATGTATATATTATGAAACCAGATACCTATTTTATATGTGTGTGTGTGTGTGTGTATATATATATATATATATATATATATAAAGTATATACATTATAAACTTATATATTTATATAAAATTATTCTTAGAGCTATTTTTTTCTCCTTCATAATTTTAAAGCTTAAAAGAGAACTGTCAATAATAGTTTATGGAATCATTGACTCCAGAATATATTTAGTTGTGAACATGTTAACATTTTTCATATTTAAATTTAAAATTAAGCAATTTGGTTTTTATTTTTTGCCAGACAAGTAAGTGCCACATCATCTCCTTTAACACTATAGTGATAAATTGAAAATGGATTTCTTAAATGGAAATAATATCAATAGTAAACATAATTGTATAAATACACATTACCACTAGGTATGTACATAGCTATTCAATTATTCAATTCTATTTTATATTATATGAGAGTAAAGTAATATGTAGCATCTAATTAAAGTAATTTGTAGCATTGCAGTTTTAGTTATGTAGAAGAAAAGCAGCAAACTTAACTAATCATGATAGTCACTGAAGCAATCAGTTGATTTATTTTACTATGCCATAAACTAATGAAATATTCCAAACTAATGTGAGCAGTCCAAAAACCTTATGTGCCACATTAAAACAAAACAAAACAAAACTGTCACCAAAAATGATATAAAGTGATTTATGTATCACCTAAAATCACACAAGTTATTGTCAGGGGACTTCAATAGATGTTATTTTGTTGAAGTCTGTCTTTAAGCCCTTTTTAGGTGAAATTATTATACAGATTTTTATTGATGAAGGATAATAG